TTTTGACACTCCTTGGCTAAACCCCTAATTCAAAATTGTTATGTTGATATTAATATTCCAATACAATAAAAAAGCCAAGTTTAGTTTACATCATATACAACGAATGTTCTCGCACATAGTGCGGGTGAGAATGTAGTAGGGGCATAAAAACAAAACATTAAAAATGTAAATATAATCTAGTGAGCTTTATGATGCATGTCTAATAAATTACATACATGATCATCTTTATGGTATGTCTTATTGAACAAAGTACAAACTATGGGATCGTTTTTATCTCTTGTCTTGGGGAAAAAGAAAACAAAGGAGGTAATCTTCTTACCGGAGGAAATGTTGATCGAGATTCTGATGAGATTGCCGGTGAACTCTCTGATGCGATTCAAGTGTGTCTCAAAGCAATGGCTTTCTCTTATCTCCTCTCGATACATGACCAACCTATTCCTTAAATCTTGCTCATCACGTCTTCGTTCGTTCGCCTACTTTGTGGACAATAAGGACAACTATGCGTTGCTCGCATCATCGCCTCGTGACCACTTTGCGGGATTGCGAGGCAAATTCGTAAGCGCTGTTCGTGGCTTGACCTGTTTCACATTTGAGAACATAGTGCGAATTTGTAACCTCAACACGGGGCAGGTTGTGGAATTGCCCTTGATGAGATCTGAGGCCATAGGGAACATACATGAGATGCATTATTTTGGACACGATCCGGTTCATGATGAATACAAAGTGCTTAGCGTGGTATTCGACATCTCAAAGAAGTCTTCGGAACATCAAGTGTTGGTACTTGGAGCTGAAGCTTCTTGGAGAAATATTCAGTGCCACATTCCTCATGATCCTTACCGGCAAGGGATGACCATTAACGGTGTTTTGTACTATAAAGCTTCGAGTGGTACATATAGTGGCCATGTACTTATGAGTTTTGACTGGAGTTCTGAAGAGTTCAAACTGATCGAACTACCCAATTATACCGCGGACGCAGAGGTTTCTTGGACCACTAGTCTCATGAACTACAGAGAAAAAATAGCTATTTTTGAACGTATGAATGACGGTACTGTGGATATTTGGGTTCTTGAAGATGCTGAGAAGTGTCTTTGGTCGAACAAGAAGACTTTTGTTTTGCCTTTTTCTCAGATGAATGTCGTCCAAGGAGATAAGGTGGCCATAGGTGGCACTAGTCACAGTGGTAAGGTTTGGTTGGCAAAGGTAGTAGGTGAAACGTCGAGTCTACCACTCGTACACTTTTTCACTCATGATTTGGAGAGGAATGAGACAGCAGAAAAGATCGAAATAACAACACTAGACATTTTTAGGACACTGGGAGCAATTAGAGGATTTCAATTTTTAGTTTACCTTGATATGAATTGGTTGCCCTTATCTTTTTGGGATGATAGTAAGAGCATCATGCATTTCGAAATCTAATCTTCCAAGATTTTGTATTTTTTTACAACTAAGCACAAAAGAAATCAAATTTTTCAGTACAATCCCTTAACTGTAAGATGCTCGAGAGAGAGAAAGATCCAAAAAGTGCTTAACAACAATAAAAGTTTTAATCTGAAATTCATCTAACAATGTGAAACCTATCTTTCCCTTAAAACCCATAGAAACCTGAGAAAGTTTGCTTCTTGATGAGTTTCTGTTTCGCCTGCCACGGATCATATGAAGGCTGTCAAGATTACTATCAAAACGACTAGAACCGGATTTGAATCAATAGAAAAAAAAAGCTTACTTTAGTATTGATAACTTTCAGGAGGATATATTATCACTCGGTGAGGCCGAAGATAAATGCTTGTATCTACTTGCTCATAGTTGAAGACAAGTAGAAGTTCCAAAACACAGAACCCATGGACATGAAAGCTACACGAGCTTGAAGCGGGACTACCCTGTAAATTTCACATTTCATCAGACCCCTAACTTCGAAAGGCCAATCCAGAGTACACACTCATTGATCATATTATATATAGAAAGACCCTCCAAATCCAAATGACTTATTGATAGAGAAAGAGTTGAGAGCTATACCAAAAGTTGAGTATGCTAACGGGAACCCAGAAGCGAAATCCTGCAGTAATCCCAAGACCGATAAATATATGAACAATGAATTGATTTGCAAAGGGAAAAGTCTAACTCTTTTTAAACGGTATCTTACCGTATAGAAGTGTTGGAAGAGCATCTTTCTGATACTTGTTTCCAAGCTCAGAGAGCTTTCCCAACCATAAGTTGTTCCAAGCAAATATAACAGCGATCACAGATGGACCGAGGATTACTTGATTAAGCAAAACCTAACAAAAGAGACCGGTAAATGCAAATAAAAACTCTTACCTCAACATGTTATAAGTAAGATTCAACATCATACGTCTAAGAGATAACAGTACCTTAAGCACTAGATTTGTAGCGGTTGGTTTAGGCAAAGAATGGTCAAGGTATTGATACCACGCATAAGAACCAGGTCCGTACAAGAGAAACCCGTAAGAACTCATCCGCAACGCACGAACCCAGTCATGTTCTGAGAAAATGTTCCACAATTCTCCCTAAAGTTGAAAGATCCAATCACAAAAATCCTTAGCCAAGCCAATGTAAAGTCACTCATTTTGCAAACCAAACAAAAGTTTTAATGTCACTAATCAAACATTTTTGGTTATGCAAAAATCACAGTGGAAACTACAATCAAACATTCACTAAAACCTCTAAAATTCCAAATCTATTTACTTGAGACGAACCTCGTCTGGTTTATCAGAATGATTCAGTGCAGTTCTCTTTTTCCACCGGCCAGATAACTGAGCGATCGTGTCTCCGGTGAAAGCGAGTGCCCCGGCAGTCACAGCTTGCTTCAATGGAAACCGATAACCGGCGTTTCTGCTCACGTCGACGGAATCCGACGATCCAGAGTTCCGTTTCTTACTTCTATCGCCGGAAGACTTCTTCTTCCTCCTCTGATCGAAGCCATTCCAACCCCAGAAATTGTTAGCGCCGCCGCAACCACCCAATGCGTCCATTAGAAATGATTCCTTTTTCTTCGTCGTCCCCAAAATCTTTATGGCGCAATGAGTCCTGACCATTTATTTTCCGGTTTAGATCGGTTTGGTTCGATTCGGATTTTTTGGATCATGGGATTGGAAACATTTGGTTTCGTTCACATTCGGTTGAAAAATAAAATAATTTTTTATGTAATCTTCTTAATGAATTTCGATTTATTTTGTTGGCTTTTTTCGGTATAAGAGTTAATCTACCGTTTGGGTTATTTTGAATCGGTTCGATTCGGTTTGTTATATTTACTCTACCACGACGTGAAACCGGTAAAAGGCGTCATCACGTGAAACCGGTGAAAGGCGTCATAACCGTGATTAACAATTATCGCAATTTATCCAGCACACAATCGTGATTTTAAAACGCCAGTTTATAACAATCGCGTTATCTAGGTTTTTCCTTTTCTTAATCAATTTAATCAATTGGCT